AATGAAGTGACTTCAATTCTCTCAGTCCCTCTTTCTTACTCTGGGGGCCTTTCCTCATTTATCTTCTACTTCCTGTTATTTCTCTTACTATGCGTGAAAAGTAAATTACTAATCTTCTTTAAACCTCCTCTTCTAAGAGAAATGCCTAAGAGAAAGCAAAGATTCTTGTTGGAAGAAACTGGTTAGGGAGAGGGAGGATCGTTTGGGGAGAGGTCTTTCCTACACTTTTCATGTTGCCAAAGCAACACCTTAGTCCAACTTTTCTGAGTAGACATGCAACATATCAGGGTGAGACAGTCTTTATTTTTCCAGTTGTATCCACTTTTACATTTTTCCATCTGTAATAGTTTTTCTTGGTTCTGAACATACTGATATAAACGAATATTGTCATTACATTTCATCAATATATAACAGCAGGTAAGTAATGGTGTTAAAGAAATCTCAGTGCTGTTTGGACTTGAGACGCTTTTCTCCATCATTGGACGTTATAAATATCCTTTCTAACTTTCCTCAGCTTTCCGTGCAGCTGAATGCCAGGTTACATATGCTCACCAGGCAACCAAAGTCCAGGATAAGGGCCAAGCTCGTCATGTCTCAGCTGTCATGTTTTCTCTCGGGATGAGTTGGTCTTCACCTCATTTTCAGGCTGGCCCCATTGTTTTGTAGTGATGGAAATCTGTCACCAAAATCTTGGTGGGGCTTCCCAGAATCCAGGCTGTGCTGATGTAAGTTATGGGGCCAAAAGGAGTTGTGGCTTGGCAAAGTGACATTTTATTTAAAATATTATGGTAATGTTTATAAGGCACATTAAGCACTTTTATAATATTTTAAAAATCAAGGAAAGTTACTTGGTATTATCATCACATGTCTTCCAAGGAAACTGTTTTGAAAGTTGTGGTCCAACATTCCTAAAAACAAATAATTAGATTCCTAGCCTTATAGCGACGGTGTGATCAGTCTCTCAGAGAGTGAACCTTTATTGGTCCCTCCCTCCCCTTTCTTACTCGGGCTACTCTCTAATCATACTTTGTTTTCTTTTCTAGTCTTCTCTCTGTTGCCACAATATTTTTTTTTTTTTTCTTTGCTAGCAGGCTCAGTTTTTCCAGCTGTTAGCTACTGGAGCTTTTTTATTATGATACATTTTTCTGAAATCCCTAGACTCCTTTATTTCTTAGGTCTGTCTTATAAGATAGTCAGCTCATGAAACAGACAATGGAGAGAATTTATTGAATGCTCACTGTGTGAACAGGAAAGGCTAAGGTAAGATGCAGAAATACTTATGGTCCAGTTGGGAGACACAATATAAATGCATGAAAATGACAGAAAAGCTGAGATGAAGCAAACAGTGCCGGTAAGTAGCTCCAGATGGATAATTGAGGCATATCCAGTTGGATCAGGTTCATTAGGAGAGACATTCTGGAAGAGAAAAATTGAGAGTGGAGGACAAAAGGAAGGACTGGAGCAAGACTACTGGGAAGAGGAGAGAGTGCTCTTGTTATTGCTCCACAGAGAGTTATATGGCAATTCACCTGTGGAGGTTTGCTTCTAACAGTCACCTTAACAATAGCCTGTATAGCACTTGGACTCCTGAGAGCTGGACTGGTTTCCTAGCTCTGTGGGTGTATTAGTCTGTTCTTACACTGCTAATGAAGACATACCCGAGACTGGGTAATTATAAAGGAAAGAGGTTTAATTGACTTACAGTTCCACGTGGCTGGGGAGGCCTCACAATCATGGTGGAAGGCAAGGAGGAGCAAGTCACATCTTACATGGCAGCAGGCAGGAGAAGAATGAGAGTGAAGCGAAAAGGGAAACCCCTTATAGAACCATCAGACCTCGTGAGACTTATTCACTACCATGAGAACAGTATGGGTGAAACTGCCCCCATGATTCAATTATCTCTCACCAGACCCCCCCCATAAACGTGGGAATTATGGGAGCTGCAATTCAAGATATTTGGGTGGGGACACAGGCAAAGCCTACCAATGGGTGAGTGAGAACCAGTGTTGTTAACTGGTTATTCCCACAACTGTTAAGTCCTTTCAACTGGACAGTTTCTAAGGAAACTACGAGGTTAAGAGGTGGGTGTATATATTCATTTGCCTAGGGAGTTTGGTGAAATGGTAACTTTGAAAATGTTTTCTTTGCTAAAAAGATTTTGTTCCTGAAACCTGTTCTTTGTGAAAAATATATCTCCCCATTTGGAAAATCACGTTGAATACAGAAAGCGGCAGCTTGTGAAAACACACACTCAACGTGTTTCTTACTTTCTCAAGGCGATAAACTGTAGCTGATGAACTGCAAACCTCTCTGAATTATAGAACCTCTCTGTTAACCCAGGGGGGATTTTAACAGATTTTTAAACTTCTGTCTCTTAATTTTGTTTTTCTTCCCCCTGGTAAGTGAATAAGTAGAGTTAACCTTACAGTCAGATCAAACACTTCATTCTGATCCCACGAAGCTTGGGCCCTTACCACCTGGATTTTTAGCAGTTTATAGAATGTGCCAGGGGTTTACGTGCATTCTTGCTTTTGCCTATGCTGCAAACTTGGCCTTGAATTTTGTTATCCTCTCTGCATTATCTCATGGGCAAACATCTCCTGCTTATACTCCAAAAGTCACCTAATCTCTCACAGCAGTCTCTTTCTTCTTTTAGGATTAAGCACTCTTTCCATTGTATTCTGGAAAACACATTGATCAGATCTCCTCTGTGGCCTTGGGGAACCATATTGTCATGTGATGAGGGCATGCCTTTACATCTCACCCAATTTGAAATCCTCAGAGATAGGAGTGTGTTTTATTATTTTAATATTTCCTATCGTTTGCATCAGAAAAGGCAGATAGTGTTATGTCACACTTACTAAACGTGAACCAATAACCTGCTTTTTGTGAATCCTATGTTTCTTTAAGACGCCATTTCACCTTTTGTAGATTCTTGACAATAAGGGAGATTTCACCTAAATGTGTGTAGCAATGCATAGAATTTCAAAATTTCCAATGAACTTGAGGTTATTGTTGCTGTCAGATTCTCTGGACACTTCTTTACCAAATTTGCCTTGGCTTTTAAAGGCAATGTTAACAGACAAAAGTCTGTGTTAACATTGCCTCAATGCTCAAATCAGACTTTATTATTTCTTTTGCGTGTTCATCAAAATCTCTAAAAATATGGGGGTTTTGGTAGATATTTAAAATACAAAAATAGTGAATGAGTTTGATATTGCAAAGTAATATATGGGAAAGTTATTTTGTGTAGTGCTTTCTAGTAAAAATCTATTTTACTGTTTTACTTTCTCAAGGATACATACAATCAGTATTATGCATTCTTTATTTTCACTTCTCTTGGGTATTTTATTTGCATTTTATATTTATTTCCTAAAAGTCATAAGTATCAGCATTCTTGCAGATTGTTGATGAACCAATGGGAAGGATTGAAATGTAGATAATGTTTGTGCACATGTGTATATTTATGTACCTATTTAGCATTTATATAGAATCAAATTCATTGTAATTAAAAGGTTTTAGAGCTAAATACTTTGAGCTCTGCTTTCAAAGGTTTAGTAATCTAGTGGTGAAAATAAGAATTGTTCAGAGAAAAAAATGATGTGGGAGTTCAGAGGGTGATATTTCTCTCACTCTGGGAAACAGTGGGACATTGAGAGACTTGACTTCCTTCCTTGTACTTGAAGAAGAAAGGGACAGGATATTTTAAGTGCAGGAGAGTGTGCAAAGGCAAGGAGATGACTAATCTTGGGAACTGTCAGTCATTCAGCTTAGCTGGGGCTCAGAGTACACTGGATTTTTCTCTAGCCAGGATGTTACCTGCTCAGCCATTTTAATTCATAAAACTGAATCTAAATTAAATTGAGAAAAGTAGTCAGCTATTCTCCATTTTAAAGTGTTGACTTTGGTTGTTCACTGCTTGCTTTTGAAAAACAAACACCACATATGAATCAATACATAGAGCATATACCAAATGCAAACCTGGCTTTAGTACAACTATAGAGGCACATCCCCTCCTTATGAATAACACATTCCTAAGGTAGCCAGTTTATAGGGATGCAATCCACAGCAAAGAAACATAGGCTGTAGAAGGGCTGATTTCAGTGTTTATCCTAAAACAGTCAGGTATACACTCAGAACATTGAAATAGGGCAAGTTCTCCCTGGTTCTGCACCTTTGAATAATCAGAGTTGGCAGGGATGGGGGTAAGGAAGTCATTATACAGCAATGAATGTTGAGTAGCAATGGGAATTGAGGCGCTGCCCTCATGTGCTTATAGCAGTATAGGTCTGAGGATTGGGTTGTGGTAGGAAGCACAAAAAACTAGATCAGAGAAAGAAGGGACACAAAAAATGGTAGCAGCAGGGTTAGCTCCAGGACAGACCACAGAGTTGGCAAAGTCAAGCTTTGATAACCTTACCTTTCTTGCCCTATCCCATATCACAATGGGTCAATGCTAAAGTCTCTTTCTGCAGGTTCTTATTTAAAGTTGGCTATTTAATAAGACCCAGGAGACAGCTGGGAACCCAAGAATGAGCACTAGAATGAAAGACCTGTTTATTCCTCACTTTGCCACCAGCTGGTCTTATGATCAGAACTTTATTGTTAATTTTACCTTCATCCTAAATGGCCCTCCTCTGTGCTCCCACAGCAGGCTCACGAGCATACTTCTTTCATTATATCCCAAAGACTATACTGACTATGCCATAGAGTCCTTCCAGAAGCACTTTTACTGTAAGATAAGTTTTTCTTTTTAAGGGTGAAAAAGCCCTTGAGGTCACACGGGATTCGTTGATAAAGGTGTATTGATAGATGGTGTGAATGATGTTTTAGCATCTTACCTTGTGACACAACAAACTAATATTTGTGGGTAATTGCCTTCTTCACTCATGTGCCCTCGACCAGTCCGTCCGTCCGTCCGTCCGTCCGTCCTTCCTTCCTTCCTTCCTTCCTTCCTTCCTTCCTTCCTTCCTTCCTTCCTTTTCTTTAATTCTTGTCAGAAAAATAGTTGCAATGTGAATCTAAGAAAATAAAGATGTGGAGTACACACAGCTTTGCCTCAGATTCTCTGGACTAAAGACTAACACTCATCTAGATGCCCAAGATCCCATCAATCACCACATTTTTTAGACTTCTAACTGCTAAGAAATATTTTGGATCTTCAGAATAGGTGTCCTTTGGGGGAAAGAAAGGGATAGATACTTTTTTGTTGACCTGTGCTACTTAAGTCTAGAAAGTATGAAAGGGAAAAATTTGAAAACTGTTACTGTAGTAGGACAGTATGTCTATTCCTTTCGTCTTCTGTTCTGTACATCTTCCCTCTGTTAAAATAAGATTTGGCATAACAAATAATCAAAGTCATGCTCTTAGAGACAGTTAGTAATGTTAAGAAAAATATTTCTGGCCGGGCGTGGTGGCTCACACCTGTAATTCCAGCACTTTGGGAGGCAGAGGCAGGCAGATCACCTGAGGTCGGGAGTTCAAGACCAGCTTGGCCAACATGGTGAAACCCCGTCTCTACTAAAAATACAGCCAAGTATGGTGATGGGCACCTATAATACCAGCTACTAGGGAGGCTGAAGCAGGAGAATTGCTTGACTCTGGGATGTGGAGGTTGCAGTGAGACAAGATCATGCCATTGCACTCTAGCCTGGGCAATAAAAGTGAAGTTCCATCTCAAAAAGAGAAAAAACAAAACAAAACAAAACAAAAAACAAGAAAAATGTTTCTGTCTTTTAGAAGCTGCACTCTCAATACCAAGTACACTTGCAGAAAAGAGGCCTGGAGAAATCTGAGTTCATCATCCCAGGACCCTGGAAATAGTGTAGGGTTAGGGTAAGTGCAGAGTTGTAGGAGAAATCTTAACAAAGATATGGAACAAGAAGAGGAAAGAGAGTAAGAGAGCAAAGAAAACCATCATTGTTTCTCACAGGATGGCTGTGTTTGGATTACAGACTGCTGGGCTGGACAAAGCCAGTAAACGTACTACAGTGTTTTCTAGTCTACATGTATGTTTGTGAATGGCTAATAGCAAGATGACTATTATTAGACTGTTCCTATATACTCTTGCAAACTTTGTGGTGCACAATGGACAATGTATAATAAGAAATAATCCATTAAGTGAGAAGAATGGAAAATGTATTTGTAGCCGTTTAACCTAATGAAAGGATAGAATATTAAAATCCATTAATTATCATTGGAAAAAAGCATAGCATGGGCTAAAATCAATGAATTTAAAAACAGAAAGTCGATAGAGAAAATCAACAAAACCAAAAGCTGGTTTTTTGAAAAGACCAATGAAATCAATAAATCTCTAGTCTGGCCAAGAAAAAAGAGGGAAGACCCAAATTACTAATATCAGAAATAAAAGAGGGGACACCACTCCAGATCCTGTGGACATTAGAGGAATTATAAAGGAATACCATAAATAACCATGTCTATAAACTTCATCACCTAAGTGAAACGTACAAATTCCTTGAAAAACACAATCTGCCAAAACTCACACAAGAAAGAATGGGCAGTCTGAGTAGGCCTGTGCCTATTAAACAAATTGAATCAATAATTAATAACCTTTCAAAGAAAACACCAGGTCCAGATGGATTTAGTGGTATATTCTATGAAACCTTTAAGGAAGAAATTATCCTAATTATCTATAATGTCTTCCAGAAGATACAAGAAGAGGGACTATATCCTAACTCTTTCTAAGATCCAGATTAATACCAAAACCAGACAAAGACACTGTAAGAAAATAACCCAGGGGAAGGGCCAAGATGGTTGAATAGAAACAGCTCTGGTCTGCAGCTCCCAGCAAGACCAGTGCAGAAGGTGGGTGATTTCTGCATTTCCAACTGAGGTACCCAGTTCATCTCAATGCAACTGGTTAGGCAGTGTGTGCAACCCACAGAGAGTGAACAGAAGCAGGGTGGGGCATTGTTTCACCTGGGAAGTGCACAGAGCTGGGGGACTTCCCCTTCCCCAAGCCTAGGGAAGCAGTGAGGGACTGTGCTACCTGCCCTGGGGTACTACGCTTTTTCCATGGATTTTTGCAATCCGTGGCTCAGGAAATTCCCTCATGAGCCTATACCACCAGGCCCCTGGGTTTCAAGTGTAAAACTGAGTGGCTGTTAGGCAGGCACTGAGCTGTAGGTTTTTTTTTTTCCATACTCGAGTAGCACCCAGAACTCCAGTGAGACAGGAGAATCATCCACTCCCTTGGAAAGGGGGCTGAAGCCAGGGAGCCGAGAGGTCTTACTCAACATGTCTCACTCCCATGGAGTCTAACAAGCTAAGAAGCACTGGTTTGAAATTCTCATTGCCAGCATAGCAGTCTGGAGTTGGCCTGAGTTTGGTGTGGGAAGGGGGGTGACCACCATTACTGTGGCTTTAGTAGGTGGTTTTCCCCTGACAGTGCTAAGGAGACTGGGAGGTTGGGACTGGGTGGAGCTCAGCACAGTGCAGCAAAGTAGCTGTGCCAGACTGCCTCTCTAGATTCCTCCTCACTGGGCAGGGCATCTCTGAAGGAAACCCAGCAGCTCCAGTCAGGGGCTTACAGACAACACTCTCATCTCCCTGGGACAGAGCACCTAGCGGCAGGGGCATCTGTGGTCACAGCTTCAGTCAGACTTAATCTTTCCTGCCTGCTGGCTCTGAAGAGAGTGGCTTATCCTGACAAGGGAGATTCTCTCTGCACTGCACACCAGCTCTACTAAGGGACAGACTGCTTCCTCAAGCGGGTTCCTGACACCCCCATGCCTCCTGACTGGGAGAGACACCCCAACAGGTATTGACAGACACCTCACACAGGAGAACTCTGGCTGGCATCAGGCCAGTGCCCCTCTGGGATGAAGCCTTAAAGATAAAAAGTAGATAAATCCATGAAGATGAGGAAAAAAACAGCACAAAAATGCTGAAAATTCCAAAAGCCAGAATGCCTTTTCTCCTCCAAATGATCACAACTCCTCTCCAGCAAGGGCATGAAACTGGAGGGAGAGTAAGATTGATGAATTGATAGAAGTAGGTTTCAGGAGGTGGGTAATAACTCCTCTGAGCTAAAGGAGCATGTTCTAACCCAATACAAAGAAGGTAAAAACGTTGATAAAAGGCTACAGGAGTTGTTAACCAGAATAACCAGTTTAGAAAGGAACATAAATGACCCGATAGAGCTGGAAAACACGGTACAAAAACTTCGTGAAGCATACACAAATATCGATAGCCAAATCGATCAAGCAGTAGAAAGGACATCAGAGTTTGAAGACCATCCTGCTGAAATAAGGCATGCAGACAAGATTAGAGGAAAAAAGAATGAAAAGGAAGAAACAAAGCCTCCAAGAAATATGGTACTATGTGAAAAGACTGAACCTACGATTGATTGGAGTACCTGAAAAAGATGAGAATGGAACCAAACTGGAAAACACACTTCAGGATATTATCCAGGAGAACTTCCCAACCTAGCAAGACAGGCCAAATTCAAATTCAGGAAATACAGAGAACACCACTAAGATACTCCACGAGAAGATCAGCCCCAAGACACGTAATCAGATTCTCCATGGCCAAAATGAAGGAAAAAATGCTAAGGGCAGCCAGAGAGTAAGGCCAGGTCACCTACAAAGGGAAGCCCATCAGACTAACAGTGGATCTCTCAGCAGAAAACCTACAAGCCAGAAGAGAGAGGGGGCCAATATTCGACATTGTTAAAGCAGAGAATTTTCAACCCAGAATTTCATATCCAGCTAAATTAGGCTTCATGAGCAAAGCAGAAATACAATCATTTCTATATAAGCAAATGCTGAGCGATTTCATCACCACCAGGGCTGCCTTGCAAGAGCTCCTGAGGGAAATACTAAATATGGAAAGGAAAAATAGGTACCAGACACTGTAAAAACACACCAAAATATAAAGACCAGTGACACTATGAAGGAACTGCATCAACTAGTGTGCAAAATAACCAGATAGCATCATTATGACAGGATCAAATTCACACATAACAATATTAACCTTAAATGTAAATGGGCTAAATGCCCAAATTAAGAGACTGGGAAATTGGATAAAGAGCCAAGACCCATTGGTATGCTGTATTCAGGAGTCCTATCTCACATGCAAAGCCATACATAGGCTCAAAATAAAAGGATGGAGAAAATTTACCAAGCAAATGGAAGCAAAAAAAGTAGGGTTTGCAATCCTAGTCTCTGATAAAACAGACTTTAAGCCAACACAGATTTAAAAAGGGACAAAGAAAGACATTACATAACAGTAAAGGAATCAATGAAACAAGAAGAGCTAACTCTGCTAAATATATATGCACCCAATAGAGGAGCACCCAGATTCATAAAACAAGTTCTTAGAGACCCATTAAGAGACTTAGACTCCCACACAATAATAGTGGGAGACTCTAGCACCACTGTAAATATTAGACAGATCAACGAGACAGAAAATTAACAAGGATATTCAGGACTTAAACTCAACTCTTGATCAAGTGTACCTAATAGACATCTACAGAACTCTCCAACCCAAATCAACAGAATATACATTCTTCTCAGTGTTACATGGCACTTAGTCTAAAATCAACCACACAATTGGAAGTAAAACACTCCTCAGCAAATGCAAAAGAACAGAATCATAATAAAGAGTCTCTCAGACCACAGTGCAATCAAATTAGAACTCAGGGTTAAGAAACTCACTTAAAACCGCACAACTACATGGAAATTGAACAACCTGCTCATGAATGAATCCTGGGTAAATAAAGAAATTAAGGCAGAAATCAAGATACTCTTTGAAACTAATGAGAATAAAGAAAAGATGTACCAGAATCTCTAGGACACAGCTAAAGCAGTGTTAAGAGGGAAATTTGTAGCACTGAATGCCCACATCAGAAAGCTGGAAAGATTTCAAATTGACACCATAACATCACAATTAAAAGAACCAGAGAAGCAAGAGCATACTAACCTAAAAGCTACCAGAAGACAAGAAGTAACTAAACTCAGAGCAGAACTGAAGGAGATAGAGACACCAAAAACCCTTCAAAAAAAATCAGTGAATCCAGGAGCTGGTTTTTCGAAGAAATTAACAAAATAGATAGACTGCTAGCTAGACTAATAAAGAAGAAAGGAGAGAAGAATCAAATAGATAATAAAAATGATAAAGGAGATATCACCACTGACCCCACAGAAATAC